GCAAAAGCCACCTGGTTAGTTAACACCAGGGGACCTGCCAATCGAGCTGGCCCTGCCCAGTCAAAATTTCCACATACAGTAGAAGGGGATAAAGTCCCCGTAGTGCATATGAGGAATATGTTAGGGAAGACAGTCTGGGTTAGCCCTGCCTCAGGCAAAGGCAAACCCATCCGTGGGATTGCTTTTGCACAAGGACCTGGATGCACTTGGTGGGTGATGAAATAAGATGGGGATGTCTGCTGCATACCTCATGGGCATTTGATTTTGGGTGAGAATAGCCAATGAATAGAATTTTATGATGTTAAATGTTAAATAACTTTGCTACTGTATGTTATCATGATTGCTATCAATGGTACTACAGAAGAATCACGCAAATCAATGACAGATGGATTTTGATGAGACTGAGTAAAGTGCAGTAACGTTGTAGTAAGAATTGACTTCACCAGCTGGCATCCAGCAACTTCCTTGAGATTGACATCTTCAACCTGTGGACTGTGGGCATGAACTGCAACAGGTACACCAGCCACAAGCTTCAAATACAGTACATACCAGTCCAGTACTACACACCATCTCATGTGCCCTGAGAGACTGTTCTTACAGATGGAGCCTACAATCATGGACTAAGTGAGCCCAATGGACATTTTAAGTGAGTTCAATGGACATTTTGGACGGATGGCCCACAGACTATGGGAACTGTAAGATCTGGGCATGACACAGATGGTATGGAATAAGGGGTGGATAATGTCCTGGTTTCGGCAGGGATGGGGTTAATTTCCCCAGGAGCCAGCAGGGGGCAGGTATTCCATACTACGTGACCCATGCCCGGGGTATAAGAAGAGCTAGCGGGAGGAAAGCAGTAGCCACTTGGGGGTGGGCTGCGGCGGCGGCGGGGCGGCGGGGGGACGGTCGGTGCACATCGTGGCGGTACTGTAATTGTGTTTTCATCTTTTCCTTTTGCTGTAATGTTAAATTGCATTATTTTAACCCACAAGTTTTGCCCTGACGATTCCTTTTTCCATGGCTGTGGGAATTGTGTGAGCGACTGTGTGGTTCTTTGTTGCTGGCTGAGGCCAAACCACGACACATTCCCCCTGCAGTGGTTACTGGTCCGATGTTGGATCTTCTTTGTGATGTTCAGCCCTGTAACTACACGTTGGTCAAATGCTTCCTTTCCCTCAGATGTGAATGGAGGTATCATTGTCTTGAACATCATGTGACCAGTATCCTCCAGGTATAAAAATCACGACAAATGTCCTTAATGGATATTTTGGCTTGAAAGAATTGATTTAGAAAGCTAGGGGGTTTTGAGGTTATTGTTTTCAACGTTGCAGACTGTCATCCTAAATGTTAATGATGATGGAGAAAGGAAGCAAAAATATTGTCTGTACTCAGAAGTGTTTTGGAGTTTCTTGCCAAATCCAAGAGCCCTTTGAAATCACAAAGTCATACAGCAGTAATGATTTTTTTGCTTTACCAGTAAACAATTTTATCTATTCTTAATGGAAAAAAAGGAGAGAGAAAATAATGAAAAGAGCATCTACATCATGTCTATTCAGTAGTACTATACTATTGATACTCGAAAATACTGAGTACTTTGTACCAACATAATTCTTTGATGTTTTTTAAATCATATCTAATTTTCTTTTTAAATCTCTTTTCAATCTTATTCATGCAAAATGTTTTGCTGGCCTTTGCATGGGTTTGGGTTAGTTACTTTATGGTTCTGATGTACTGACAGCAATCTTAATTTCATTTGGTACTTTAATTAAAATTTAGGTATAAGTAAAGGAATGGCTTTCATAGAGCAATAATTTTGAAGCTGATAGGTCCAAAGCAAACCTGAATGCCTTTCTTCTTCCTCACAAAGGTCAAATGCCCCACTAATGTAGCTGAAGTGAAATAATTGTAAGTAATTGTGCTGGTGCTTGTGAGGTCACCGGAGGCTGAGGAGCTGGTAGGGCAGGAGCAGGCAGGTGTGACCAGCCACAAAGGTGGCTGGTTAGAAGGAGAAATGACTGAGCAGAAGATTATTCCTACCAGCCTGGGAGCTGTGAGCCTGGGGACCAGAAGCATCCTTGAAATGTGCAGCTGGACTCTTTGAAGCACAGCTGGGCACTGAGAAATGGGACACCTCCTGAGACTGCATTGATGATCACAAACCCAAGAAAGTCTAACCTCCATTTATTGTCAGAAAAAGTGGAAACACTCTGGGAAATTTAAATTAGCCTGAATAAACAGAGCAGGTCTCTGAGCAACCTCATCTAGTTGAAGATGTCCCTGCTCATTGCAGGGTGGTTGAACTAGATGACCTTTGAATGTCCCTTCCAACTCAAACCATTCTATGATTCTATAATAAAGAGGGTGACTTGCAGGTATCCTTGTTGCTGTAGATTTGCATGTGACAGTTTGAGTTGATTTTTTGTGATCATCTGTCACTGTAATCTCCAAAATTGCTTTGCAAACACTTACGGAAATAGCAGCAAAAGCTGAGAATTACTGAAATGCATGAAGGCTGAGGAGTGATAGTGATGAGGGTTGGCAGTGTGGAAATTGTTTTCCTGGGACATGCCTTCAAACTAACAGTTGGAAAGAAAGTCCTAGTCACTGTGGGAGCTGAGATACTACAGCACTTCTCTCCCTAGTCTGATTCACTCAGGCATATCTTTACTCTTCTATTAAATCTAGCATTTTGAATATAAAATCATAAAATGAGGTTCTGGTTACTTAAGTAAAGTCTTAGCAGTGTGCCTTTAATTCTTAATGGGACTAGCAAATTTCAGGTATCCATTCTACTTGCAGGCTTAAAGTTGTTTTTCTTTGGACAGTATGAGTCAGCTTTATCTCCAGAAGAACAGAGTTCAGTGTGCAAATACAGACAGAGTTTCTCATGAAGGTTTATTTCACGAAGAGGTCTTTCTGTCCCACTTACAATAGAACAGGGATGAGGTTGTGTAGGATATCTCCTGTATGAGAATATCTAAAACTGTCCTTTTCACTGCAGTCTGCCTATCTGTCCTGTCCCATTTGCTTTCTCTTGTTGATAATTATTTTTTTCCTGAAGTTTTGCTACATCAATTAACCTTTACTATAAAATGCTGCAGATGGAATTTCAAAATCATTGGGGATGGTGGACTTGAGCGTCAGACTTGTTAACATAAAAAAGGAGGATCAACACCAGTAGAATACCACCCCAAAATTTTACTAATACAGAGCTTGTATTGTCTTTACTAAGCCCGTGGCTGTTTAGTCCCAAATTCTCTCCTGTGCTTGTTTCAGAAAGATCTGAGCACCTGACCATCTTGTCTTGTGAAAACTGACCATCCACTGGGCTGTACATAATGGTGAGGTGCTAGGATTGGTAATTTGGGTGTCTGTACAAAAGAGCAAAAGCAGAATATTAACAATGATGTTCGTACTGCAGAATATGAGGTACCATGTGTGATGGCTGGCTTCTTTTTTCTGTGAGTGACTGACAATGTATTATCTCTCCCCTGCAGTATGGGATAAAGAAGAAGGAAGAAAAGGAAGCAGAGGCCCAGGCTGCACTGGAAGCTAATGCTGAAGGGAGTCTGACGCGCCCAAAGAAGGCGATACCTCCTGGCTGCGGGGATGAGGAGGAGGAGGAAGAAGAGAGCATTCTAGACACCGTCATCAAATACCTACCAGGGCCCCTGCAGGACATGTTCAAGAAGTAATAGCTGCAGACTGTTCGATGGGCATAAACAGTACTGCAAAGGATTTCTCTTTTGCCCAACGGGGATTTACAATCTTGCCATCCATCACGCAGCCCTCCCCACCTCTGCCCTTTACTGCTTACTAGGAGTCCCTTTGCTTCCCATTCCCTTCCGACTGCTACTTTCCCTTCCCCCCACCCCAAGGCTCATCCATTCCTTTTTTTGTACATAGTCACATCCAGTAGATGCCTCTGAATGGATGTAAAGATTAAAAAGCTGCAGACTACACAAATTTTATTATAAGCCATAGTACTATGTATGTTAAATAAGGCAACTGTACATTAAGCATAGAAAAGGGACAACCTCATGTGCATTTCCATCCAAAGCAGGAAGGAGCGTTCACTAAACGTGGACAGTGGCCTCTTTAATTTTCTTAAATTCTCTTTTTATTATTATTGATAATAATTATTAGTTATTATTATTAATGATCTTGTTAACTGGCTCACACTAGCCAATTGTTGTTGAGCACATCTGCCATTGGAAAGGAAATCTCAATTCTCCCATGAAAGCAGAACTTTTCTGTTTTAATTCCATCACTGGCATAAATGAGAGATCATTTGGAAGGTAAATCACACATGACTTACACAGCTGACATCACTCAGAACTGTGGAAGGAGTGAATCATCTGCCCTTAACTGCTGGTAGAAGTTAAATGCCTCAGAGTCTAAGCAAGAGTCATGTTACTTTGGGAATTAGCCATACACTTATCTTGGAAGAGCAGATTTGGTCAGACAGTTGCCATACAGAGAGCTGAAACCACAGGAGAGTGCATGGTGTTCTGGTAGAGGACCTCCCCAACCCTTTTGAAGCCAATGACCAAGGATGTAGGCTGCTCTGATTAACTAACCTTCCTCCTTCTGCCCAGTGCCATATTCAACTATCCCATTCCCAGCAGTGCTTGGGAGGATGGATATTTGGGTTCCAGTGTATTGTTGTGGCTGTGTACTGCCCACCCCTTCCTGCAGTGTGCGGGAGAGTGTGGTGGCCTGAATGTTAGCCATGGCCCTGGAGATGCAGAAATCCTGGGTTTGCCTGCTATGTATCATGCTAAATTACTGTGTTGCCTTGGGTAGGTCCCCACACAGCTTCTCCAGCTGTAAAATATAGGTTTTAGTCTCTACCTACTCTAAAGGCATAAAGTGAGGATGTTTCTCCAGTGCTGTGCAGGAGCTGATGATAACGGTGTGTGACACCCCTTAATGCTAGTAGGGTGGGAGGAATTCTCTCGCTCTCACCATTACCTTTGTTGCCTTTCCCAGACACAGATACAGAGGACTTCTCAATACAGCACTGTAGGTACTGAGTCACTGCATAAGATAAGACAAATTCTACTGGAGATGTTGACTTGCTAGTACATACACAGACTCAAATACATAGACTTATTCTGAACACAGACTCTCATGATCAGGTGTCTGTCTTGTCATCTGAAGAGCTGATCCTGGAGTTTTTGCATTTGGCTAGGTTTCTGTAGTTGCTGCTGTGACACCATCATGCCATCTCAGTCTCACAATCTTGTAAGAGAATCGGGGTTTGTCTTGCAGAACTAGCATTGCTTGTCCCTGTCATGGGAATAACAAAAGTCTCCTAAGTACGTGGAAGAGATTTGGAAGCAAATACCTGCTTTCTACTCACAAAAGGAAAGGAATCTCAGACACTGCATCATGTACCTAAATTATGCATTTTATTTCAATGGAACTTCTTAGATGCACTTGTTCAATGGAACTGAGTTTAGGCAAATATCTCAATACTTTCCTGAATAAGAAATTTTAAAAGATATTTATCAACTTTTCAGGTAAGCAGAAGAAACCTGCATCATGGTTAAGGCAGTGAGCTTGTGAACTCTGTGCCTTTTAGCAGCATCTGTCATAATATGGAAAAATATTATGAAAGAGAAGAAATATATTTATTTTGCGCTCCTTGCCCCATTCTTATTCATCTATGATAGTCTTTACTTCTTCATAAATAACTTCAGCCATAAGTTTCTACTTAATCCAAGGTGGAGGCTGAGGAAGTTTGACTTATCAACAAGTCAGAACCAGCTAATAAAGATGCAACTTATTTCAGGCTGGATATACAAACAAGATACTTAGTATTTCAGAAAATTTCAGTGGTCTTTTTGCCCTAACTTTCATTTAAAGCAAGATGAGTGTCTCCCCCTTAGGATATTAATGACCCAGAGCACTCTTTATCTGTGAGTTTGTGCTTGGGTATGGCATAGCAGTGTTGAGCAATTTACCATTTTCTAGGGAGAGTGTCCTACTCACTTCATGCAAATTCAGCCACTAGTAATTTGAGCCTATTTAAGTAAACCTCAACGAACTGAAAACTCTCCTTCTGTCACAAAGGCAGCAGCTGTTTTTGATGCTCTGCAAAATCCAACACACCTGAAAGCTAAAGGGCAGAGAGGCTGGCTCTTTGCTTCAGCCATTCATTGCTAGCAAAATCTTCCAGCCCAGATCACACTGAAACACTGACATCAATATTTTTGAAATCCTCTGACTAATCTCTGTGGTCTGCATCCCCTAATACATAAGTAGAACTAGCAGAAATGTGCCCTTGCTAAAAGGAACACATCCATTCATATTTTCCCCTGACCTTGTGCTGGAAAACTCTGCAAACAAACAAACAAATAAAGAGGAGGAGCTCATTCAGCTTTGCTTTGGCCTTTCTCTACCACTTGCTTGTTGACTTTTCTCTAGCCCACATCACGGATCCAGTTCCTCATCCAGCCAAATACTGTTCCTGACACAGAGTCACAATTTTCTGCCTGGTGTCCTCCTTGCAGAATGGTACTGCCAATTTTTTGTTTGCTTTCACAGCCACCCTGGCAGCTTGATGTGCATGAGTGTGCCCATATGTGTGGAAGGTGAGGAAAAGGGAGGAGGGAGAGAAAGGAAGAGTGTTTGGTATTATTTTTTCTTACTGTGCCTCAGCAGCTGTGCCACTGAATTATTGGTCTAAGTCAGGATCTTGTGTGGCCTGTGATCAAATTTTGTAAGCAGGTAGTGCTATCCCTAGGCTCAGAGCATTAAAAATACTCCTTTTGTGAGCTGAGCTCCTGAGCTGTGTGGACAGCTGGATCCAAAACCTGAAGTGGGCCATAAGTACTCCATGCTGAGTTTGTTAGGCCTCATGCCAGGGTCACAGAGCAGGGAGGAAAGGGAAATATTAAATAATGTTTGCCAAGTCTTTTTCATTGTGGGACCTTCCCAGCCCAGCCATGTCATCACTTCCGTACCTCAGCTCTCCACACCCACAGCAACCCTTCCTCCGTGGGCAGCACAGAGTTCAGCCAGATGAGATCTGTTAGTTCCCATTTTAATTTTACTTTTCTTTCAATAAAGAAACATGACAGAAGATCTACCACAGGTTACTGGACAGGTTTTGCCTCACATAACTTTTGGCACCTTGCATGAGTTCTGGACCTCTCCTCAAGTCATTCCACTGTTCCTGAAGTGCCTAAGCCATGCTGAACAGACTTGAGAGCAGGCACTCTCCCCTCCCTTCTGCCCACCCGTTTCCCTTCCCACTGAACTGGAAACATGGGACACAGAAAACTTGGCTCATGTATGGATGTGAGAAGCGTTGTCTCAGACAAGTTCCCCCACAGCACTCAAGCAGGTGTTGAAGCACTTAAATAAGACCAAAGAGAAGCATGGTTCATTGTTTGGATTCTGAGTATCTCTTTGTCTTTTCATGCCATTGTTTTATTTACATCACTGCACTGTTCAATCTCAGGTAAATGAGGTCTTTTGTTTTTTTAACTAGTTTTTATTTACACAGAAAGGTTGGTGGCTAGACACTGCAGTCATTGTCCTTCACAGCTCCAGGACCTTACTGGTTAGTAAAAAAGAAGTCAAAGGGCCTCCACATTTGGAGGGTAAATGATTTAGTTTGCCACTGACCTTGTGAACTCACGTTTATATTTAGAGAAAGCCATATGAAATCAGACTGCAATATTAATTATGAATGCTACTCTTTGTGTTTAAAATAAATAAAACAAAATATAAGATCATGTGCTAAATCACTTTGGAGTTCCTCTGTCTATGTTTCTAGTATCATACATTGGCTTAGGTCCCTCCCATCTCCTCTCCTTTGTCAAGAAAGACCATATCATTGCTGCTGAATACATCTTTTTGGCAAGCTTACTGTGCTAGAATAAGCATTGTTAGAAATTAGCTGTTGTGACCTCAACGTAATGTCTCATGTATCTGAAAGCTGTCTGTATCTGTTCCGAATATATATTATCAAGGTAACTGTTTCTTCATGCACTGAGTTAGTAAAATGTTTCAGTACCATCATTTAAAAATTGCTTGCTTTCTCTCTTTCTCATACACACAGAGCAAAATTCAACTTAGCCATGCATTTTCTTGTAGAAATGCTCCCCAGCTTTCTTTCAGATGCATGCAGTACTCTCTAAGCAACTAGAAGATGATTTAAAGTAGAGACTTTGTGAATGTGGGTTTCATTTGTTATTTGCCTGCTACTTTTTCCTGCATGATGTGGGTAAATGGTATGATGTCCTTTTAAAATGGAATCACGGCCAATAAAAAAAACAGTGATTTCATACATTTTTTTGAATGCTTTCATGTGAAATTCCTACCTACACTTGGAAGTCAAAGTATGGATGCTGATATACAAATAGAACAGTAACAGAATCGAGGAGAAACACGGATATTATTTGAATGGATATTTCATTTTTTCATTTGGCAAAACCACTGATGAGGTTTGACATCCACAGGAGATTACAAAATTTTAAGTAAGTTTTGCTATTAGGAATTAGTGTGCCTTAGGAAGAGCAGAACAACATTCCTTTGAAAGAAACACAGGCATCTAACTATGGTTTAGTGAGAATATATTGGGATCTTAAAACAAAAGAAGGTAAAAAGCTGATTTGCAATGACATCAAATATATCTCTGGATCCAGAATCTGTGATATATACAAAACTCTTTGAGTGGCAA